ATTGGTCTGCTCGCTTCAAGTTTATAATAAATCTTTCGTAACCGATATACCTGCGGATATCTGTCTAATGTTTCGATCGGTCACGTCGCATGGCGTAAACTGATAATCACGAAGAAACGTGTTAATTAATCGCGATGATTGCAGAAGCGGAAAGATCTGGTCGAGCGAACGATCCGAATTCGCAAACGCAGGCTGCGCTGGAGAACAAGCATAACATGGAGCAGAGGGAACAATACTACGCGACCGTGAGGAAACCGGGCCAGCAGTCACCCTGTCGCGAGGTGAGCGCGCTGGAAAGAATACCCGAATATTCCGAAGACATTTATCCGTACGCCACCTTCAATCTGCCCGAGCAGGAAAACCTGTCGGCGAACCCGATGCGACAGGCGTTCTACTACGAACGTAGCGAAACGATGCTGCAAGGCAATCAGGTACGAGTACCGATCATAAATAACTGTCGACGAAATTCGATAAAGAAACGTTTCGAAGATGGCGAGAAGAGACCTTTTCAAACGGATGTACTTTCCGTGGCTCCTACACACGGAGTAATTTAATCGATCGAAAAGGCTGTATCCTTCTCTTCTGTGCGCGTGTCTCACATTCGTGCATACCTGGCGCGTTACGGGAAAGAAATGTCTCTTCATCGGGGAGGGTGGAACGATATATCCTCGTGTACGAGCGTGAGAGATCAGGTCGATGATATATTGCTTGTATACACGTAGGCGGATATCCCGAGAGATCAAAGTAGCCTGCACTCGATCTCGCGTATAAATGTAAGACGACTTCCATTTATGTATCGTGCCCGAGCTTACGTTAGATCTGGCGAGACTTTCCTTTCAAGTAAATGTGCTTGCCTCTGTGTGGTCGGAAAACTTGTTACTTACCTCGAACATCAATAGAGAATCTGGTTCTGCAAACTGGTGAAATAATCGTATACGTACACAGCAGTGTCCGCTTAGCTGCGGTTGCTTCGATTTACATTTTCCCTGCAGCTAGCCAGCCAGGGTAAGGTAATCGAAAATTTTTCCTTCTGCTCTTCGCTCGTCTCTAAACAAGCTTTACGTGACAGTTTAAAAAATATTAAGGGCGAATGAGATACAAAAAAAAAAAAAGATTATTTAATATACCTAGCCACGGAATTAGAACTACGTGCGCAAATTTCTCTGTTCTAACTACTACGCTATATCATAGATAGTAAATAGTTCTTGACTGTTCAAATTACTATTCGATACGCAGACGTTCGTGTATAGAGCAGCTAATTTATTACTGTTGAATATCACGAAGCCAAATCCATACAGTTGCTTTCATCGAAGAACAACCCCCATATCTTATGCTTATGCAGCCATTTCGTTTAATGGCATTGAACGTCATTGAGATGTTTGTATGTAGCTTCTAATGTCGAGGCTTATACCAAAGAACGTAGGTAACTTTTACACGTTGCAGTGCGACATGGAGCAGTATACAAAGGTACGAGGAAGGGCGCGGCGGAAGTCGAAATCGTTCAAGTCAGAATCGGAGGAGTACGATACACTAGGCTCGGACAGCGACACGGAGGTCGGTACCAGCAGTCGCACCGAGTCGTCGAATCACCTGGACGACTCCGGGCCGGCGTCGATAATGACGCGATCCCCGGGGCCGAATTCGATCGGGCAGAGGGAGCAGCGACTAGCCCTGGTCCCGAGGCCGGTTCATCATAGTAAGTTAGTATTCGATTTTCTGTGTCGACGCCGGCAACAGCCTTAAACAGCATCCAGGTCGCCACTAACGTCTCACGTTTCTCGCATCAACGTGTCTCGCGTGCACCTTCCAGATGTGCTGTACCACACGCACGAATCAAGTACATCAACCGAGCCGTCACCAATTTCTGAGAGGAAGACCTTCCCGAGGCTCGAGAAGCAAAGGTACGATAACCCGGAGAAATATTCCTATGGATTGTACTACGAGTCATTTTCGTTCGATTATCTGTCAAACTTTCTAAACGAATCTTTTTTATGAATTCTATTATCAGCGATATAATCTTTCTCTGGTTCATTCATTTCCTTTGAGTCTGTATACTATATACGGTAGAACTTTATTCATGGATACGATATCTTAGCGCCTCGTTAAGTGAACTTCTATTGAACGAATCTACTTGTAAAAACGTGAACTCGTATTATACAGACGAATGGAAAATTATAAGTAATGGACAGAATCAAGGAACTCCTACTATATGAGTTCTTTCACTATCGTTGAATTCAGATAAATAGAGTTCTAGCGTGTATTTATCATTATACTGTGGATGTTTATACAAATTTATATCTTTTTGAACACAGCCAGAGAGATGAAGTTGCTATAGAGAACTTATTTCACCCTTTAAATATTATAACGAATATTTTACTCTGAATATTTTACATATATTTGCATGTTTTTTCTATGTTTCCTAAAAATGTATAAGCATCTTTATTCATTATTATTCAGCTTTCCCAAAAGTACTTTTCCATTTTTAATATACTGGCTATGAAAAGAAAGCATAAAAGGAAAGAGTAAAAAATGAGTCTAATCGCTACCGATATAACTTCGATCTCTTTTAACGTAACATCATGATCGATGCTTAATCCACTCTAATCTCATTCTGGAAATTTGTTATCAAAAATGCCTACTGTTATAACACGTTCAATGTCGTATCATATGGAATTGTTAAATTTGCAGGAATCAAGGAGCAACGCCCGATATGGGGATGGACGGTCGTGTACCGGGAATACTACGCCCTGTGATGAAGCTCTCGGAATCCGGGATGCATTCGTATTCGAGGGGAGCATCACCGAGTCAACCGTCGAGGCCTGGATCTTGCGATCGGCTGGGGAAAGATCCGAGCCCGAGGAAGTCCGTAGAGTCGTTGTGCCTGCTGGAGGAACCCGGATCGTCCAGAATGGCAAGGAAGGAAGAGGACTGGGGCAGCGAGTTGTCTACGTTGGAACTGAAGCCGCCGACAGGTTTCACGGACGCGCACGAGACCAGCGAAGCGGAGTGCGATATCGACATGAAACTGAAGCTCCACAGGAAGAGGACGGGTTTTCCTTCTAACTCGCTCTCGAAATCACCTAAAGACTTCACTATCACTGTCTAAGTGTGTTAATCAAATATTCGAAGAAAAAAAAATGAAGTAAAACTAAAATGAAACCGCAAAAGTTAATGAAACGAGTAAAAAAAAAAAAAAACGATATATCGCATAAGAGACACAGTCACACGTACACACATACAGACACAGACACGTAAAAATAATAAAGATGCCAAAGCATGATGAGTGTTAATTCAAAAAAGCAAAAATGTAAAAAAAATACGAAACGCAAAAAAGAAAATTTCCTCGCCGTTGAGATTGTCGGGATTCCCCAACGCTTCTCTGTGGATGGATGACTGTCTTTCCGTGTAACTACCGTCGACGATCCATTTACAATAAAGAGGTATTTTTGTAAGAAAAACCGGAAAAAAGCTAACCACCAGTGTAATTTCTTTCGTGAACCTTTACCTATGCAGCACCGAAAATACCAAAGAATGTAAATAAGAGTATTCTATTTTGTTTTCTATAGATTTCGAAGGAATTTATTGATTTCGGATTTAAATTCATCGACGATTGATGTGACACTTCGTTAAGTGCCGATCGAAGAGATAGATAGCTTCGAAGCGAATTCGAAATTCCCACCGATCGGTTGCCTTTCAGGCGAGAACAGTGATTCGTTAAAATGACAATTTGTGGCTATAGACGCGGTCATAAACAAGACGTCAATCAGCTTAATTACTAGCGCTTATCAGTTGCACGTCAGTCGTATTTCCACAGGAGGGTAATTCGATTCTAGAATTTATCTGGAGACAAAATCGCTACGTTATCGTATGTGATAAACGATGTATTTCAACGTGTTTTATTGAATCTACATCGCTTTAATATCGATCGAAGCATATAAAAAATTAAAAATTTCTTGTTAATGAATTAGTTAGTAGATTCAATCATATCTTTGTGATAATTCCCTAATCCCTGTTGTTATAACGATATCAGTTACCGGAGAATACTTACCTTTACCGTCGTTTGATAAGTCCGAGAGAATGGTAAAACTCCTAAATTCCCACCGTCGATAACGATGAAGAGCTTCATGACCTTAAGCTTCATTCATCTCTCGTGCATCGTTAATTTATTATTTCCATATCATGCAAACAATCCCGAATGCACAGTTTTTTTATTTTAGTTTGAATAAAACAATTTCCTATTTTCTATTATAGTAATTTTTTTTACTACTATACGGATTTAATACCAAGAAACAAATTAGGTAGAAACAACATGGAAAGAACAAAGAAAGGTCAATAAACAATAGCAAGACTGTCACTGTCACAGAAAAAGGAAGCCCTAAATTTAAAGAAAAATTTAACGATAATACCATCTACTTTGATCGACAAATGCAAAAGAAATCAATATGTGAGGGAAAGAAAATACTGGTCGTCGGTTATGGGCGCAGTGTGTGGCGCGATTTATAATTTTACGATCGATGCAATGAATGACTCACGTTTTTTTTTTTTTTTTTTTCGATAGTAAGAAGTGTATATTACTACAACATACTTGTGGGATATCGATTGCAACAATGATCGCATCAGAGAAGGGGTGGAGAGCTGGAGCGGGGATTCGCTACTTTTCTACACGGCGGATACGTATACAACAAAGAAAAAACACACACTTATTAGCTGTGACAATAGTTTTTCGCATATCAGTATGTGTCGTGTAGTCGCATTTTTTCTTTTCGTTTTAACCAGGGTAGATTACAATAAAATTCGCATTCAGAAAACACGGAATACTATTTCATTCGAATCATGGTAGATCGCGTCGAACGCGGAGTGGAGCCTCGGTCGTTCGGTGTCCACCCCGTTTTCTCGTCTATAAAATTATCGTAAAATATGTATATGGCAGTCAAACAATGTTTCGTTTCGTTGATCATCTAAAAAAAGGGGCGTGGAATGTTTCTTAAAGTTTTTTCATCTTTTTTTTCTCGTTTTGCTCCGTTTGCTTCCTTCTTTTTTTTTTTCTTCGTTTGTTTAAAAAATTCGCGTAAACGATTGGCAGACAGTCGTTGGCAATGTTTCGTTTTGCGCAAATGGAAGAAAGAAAACCGTGAGGTTCACACGAGCGAGGACAGCCGTCAAGAAAAATCTGAACGAGCATCAGTTCGACACTTAACATTGAGTATTACGCAGGTAACTGGTTAACATTTATCTCAGTGTGTATACATCCATGCTAGCTTAGTATTTAATTGGTCAAGATACTGTTACGGTGAAAGGACATACGTGTATCTTTTGCCTGTTTCCACTGTGCATTTCTTCCAACTTTTCGCTTTAGCGTAGCTGTGGTCGAGAACAATCGAAGCATCGTACGATCGTTTAAGGTAAACGGACATGTTACAATCTTGATCGTTCGAGTTATTAGCTGTTCTCCAATTTATATGTATATATCTTGTTCTTCGAGTTTTTCCAACTTCGCAAATTTTTGTACTATATCGAATTGAAACATCGCATGCTAGTCGTAATGAAACTGCAGCGCAATTTCTCAGAAACTAGTACAACGCTAGCTGGCGAACGTGGAGAAAATTTTCTTCGATGTCGTTCCGTTGCGAATTACGATTAACTAGGAAGAAAAATCATCGATTATAAAAAATGTATACGCGCGAATACTGTTCGCCAACGAGCTATCATCGCGGGAAGTTATTTGCACACTCAGTCAGTCAATTATACGATCGATTAGCTTTGATTACGTACGCAATATTGCTAGAATCCATGACGAACAGAAAATTAACCTTCACATAAATCCGTCTTCTTAGCGCGTCTCCTTGCATTTCCGTTTTTCTGCCATGCAGTTCCATTACGACGTCGCCGTGCTAGCGGAAGTAGCGTGCCATTCAAAATTTCAGGGTTCGAGGAATGAAAAAGGTCGGAGATGATGGGACCCATCGATTAGGCCAATTGCAAGTGTGAAACGCAAGTGAAAAGTCGTTCCGCCATTTTCATAGGTGGCAAAAGCTTCTCGGTGTATCATCATTATCCCATATTTTTTCTAGAGCGCTACGCATGTCATGTCCGATCATCGATTAGCTGAATGACAATTAATGCTTTGTTTATTTAGTGTACACGTGAAACATCATGGATACGTATATAAAGAGTTTCTCTTATCGTAGGCCTGTGCGAATACTTGCATTTAAATGTCGCGCGTCGATTGACTCGATGCTGCGGAAACTAACGCCGGAAAGGAAACGTATTAATAATCGTAATATACTATAATAATCGTAAAAAACACCGTTCTTGTCGGTCGCGGTCTTTTCTCATTTTTTTCTTTTTTTTTTTCTTTTTGTTGCTTTAATTCGTTTGTTTGTCGTGTTTGCAGTCTTACGGTGGCGTGACGTTGTACGTTCCCCGCGCGCGGATTCTCTAATTCGAATAATGTAACATCGTGGTCGACCTGAAATTTACCTCTAAACGCTAGAACCGATTTCTCCGATGATATTTTTGCCTCGCTAATTCTCTAATGACTTTTGGTCGACTGTACGATCAAGCGTTCGACTTTTCTTTACTCGTTGCCATTTATTAACGAACTATTCGCGGCGCGTTCCCGATTTTTCTTCGAAAATTTGGCTCGCTCGCGAACGTTTCGCAGATTTTCAAGCGACACCTCGAGGTTCGTGTAGGCCTTCGATACGCGTGTTTACACGCTCGTTTACATTATCGAACACTTATCTTCTATCGGGCTTTCGATGGCTGCGTCTGCAGTCCGTTCATCGCATCGTTCTAGAATCTTCATCACGATTTTTCAGAACATATGTAACGGAAGCTCGTGTACAATAACATTTAGGAAAAAAAGATAGAAGCATCGAATCCTTTATTATTAATCAGAGGAATTAATTTTAATTATTGCTAACAACGTGAAAAGAGATAATTATAAAAAAGGCGAAAGTAAAGACAGGATTAAGAAAAGACGAGGAGAACAGAAACGACAATTACCACGAACGTCGCACTGTTTTAGTCCGCACCGCGTCAACGCACCCCTTCCGAGCAAACGAACAGCCGTAAACGCAGCCACGCGTTCATTACAACTCGTCTCTTACGTGGAAAAAAACCCGAACGCATCGAGTACAGAGAAACAACGATGGGAACGACGTGAATAACGCGTTCTCCCGTGACAAAGTAAGAAAAGAAACGAAATGAACAAGAAAAACGTGTGCGTCGTCGATTACGATTGTGTTATGCTGACTAGAGTCTAAATTATTTTTCTATACACACCTATCTCGTTTATCCTCCGAATTAATTATGTATAATATTTATATATGTATAAACGATGCGACGACCGATCCTCCCAGGAATCGATCGATCCACATACATCCTTCGTTGCACATCTACTTACTTTCTCATGCACACTCGTACTCATACACACTCTTCCTCTCAGCTCATTTTTATATCATTCTTTTGTATCCGTATAGGTACATTCAGAATTTACGGTGCTTATCGTAAAATACAGTACAGATTCGTATTCGACGCCGTTCCGTGACGCAGGTACCGTGACATCACGCAAGCGAGGAAAATGTTCTGTTTCTTTTGATTTTTCCTCCGTGTTCCGCGTCGATGGGAGGGACTTGAAGTGACGGTGTCCACGCGAGCCGCCCATTACTCTATCACACGGCTCAATTCTCGAGAACACCCGCGAAAATTTCAATAAATTCTACGTACGCACACATGCATGCTAATCACGGTATCTCGCGTGGCGATTCGAAACGTGACGTTACAATGTGTAGCTTTCCACTTCTCATATCATAAATATCTGAATATAATATATTTATATTTGCATTTATATTTATATATATTTATATTTTATATATATATTTATATTTATATATACCTTTTTCTCTCTTTATGTATACGATGCGTTTTGTCGTGTGATTCATTTTCGCTCGTTTAAGCAAGTTAACAACAGTCAGTTCGTTCGGTGGTGTACTATTTTTATGCTAAAAGAGCTCGTCGTCAATTCTCCGTGCACTTTTAACAGCGGTATTATAGCGTGCATCCGTTGCTTTGTATACAGGTGTATATACTTTGTATGTATACGATGTGTATAGTTGGCGTCCAGACACGTCTTTGCACGAGTCAACAACAATCTCGCGTTCTAATTATCCCTAATTACAGCGGAACCGATATTACATTAATATATCGCATATGGTACAGACATTTTTAGCTCTTTCTCGTTGTAGGGAGGGATTCGCTGGCCCAATCGGCCCAAAGGAATTATCTACTTTCGCGATGCCTTCCCTTCCTGTGCTCACGAGCAGGAAGGCACCGTTTTGTTTCTGTCCAGCTCGAGCGTTTTCTATCTTATCGGATGATACATAAGACTCAACTACCATTCGTTCTTTCTCTACGAAATGTATCAATCGATTTTTGTAATAAAATCTCTATCGAGATTCAAATAATTCAAGTCGCAATTATCAACGAGAAAGAATCGAATAGTCTTTGATCGTCATCCACGAACGCTGTGCTCGACGCTGGACGTCGGCTCGGTTTCTCTGATTCGTCAGAAGCCTTCCATTATAAGGCTCCAAGCGGTTACGCTCGCTTAGTTACTGAATCATCGACAACGTTCCTTTATCTGTCGAAACGATGCACATGAGACTCACGATCGTATCGATCGAAAAATGATGAACATATCTCTAGGATCAAATTCGTTTAACGAAAGTCTACATTCTTGTGAAACAGAGGGCAAGAAAGCCAAAGATAGGTCTACCAAAGGGTAGTCGAATGTCGCAACTGTCGTACATCGATTTATACGCTTCTGCATCTCTTTCGCCCTCCCACCTCTCTCTTTTCTTGGCTTACTATGTTTCTTAGCTGATGTGTCCGAAAGTTAGCAAGAAATACAACCCGCTGATATTCTCATCGGCGCGAACTATATCTAAGCCTTAAGTTTTCTAATTTTCCTTCAGGATCCCTTAACGAACTGCTTCAAATCACGCTGATCAACGTTTGGATTTCGTTCTGATAAAGGTATGTCGAGTGTCGTCAAATATTAAAACGGTGATAAGAACGGTGATGATTTACACTGTAAAATGACCTTGGTTCCTCGTTCCATCGCGTCGATCAGCCCGAAGGAAGAAGCACGGTTTTACGTTTAAGTAGACTACATCGACATCCAGTTAAAAACCGATAACGAGTTTAAAAAGTCGTTCAGTCGTGAATTACGTTTACATACGTCTTATTAATACGGACACGGTTACATACATGCACATATACATATACAGATTTTTTTGAGATTTTTTTCATGCTTTTTTTTTTGTTAAACTTTCACGTCGTCGATCGTTAATCGGCAGTAAAATGTAAAAACGAAGGACGATAGATCGTTCGTCAACGATTAGTCACAACGTATATAAGATGGTAAAAAACACGTATAGAAGATGGATCGAAGGTGTCACAGGCAGTTATTGTTTCCGTATCACGTAAATTATGCCGACTTAGCAATACGCATATAAGTGTATATAAGAATTCTGGATGAGAGAACAGTCTTCCGGATGTTAGATCTCATAGAAAAATGACCGCATGGCAAAGGAACTTGTGGCTAGAATAAATTTTACAACAGCGTCGAATTCTATTTTTCTGTTTTTTTTTTCTTTTTTCTTCTTTTCTTCTTTTTTATATCACAATGAAGAATCTCGCTGGATCACATGAATTTGGACAACGTTAGTCTAAAAGCTGCTCAATCTCCATTGATCCGGTATATACCGATCAAGGTCATCTCTGATATCACGATTGGAAATTAATCTCGTTAATTATCGAACGCTTCAGATTGTCGTCGTCGTAGCTTGTTCTTTGTCTTTCTGTCGCGTCTCGATGCTCGATTGGCCAGGTCGGAAATCACGCGGGACAACGAAATACCGCGATGAAGAAAAGTTCACGTAGACGTAGCACATTTTCCACGTTTTGCTTAATTCAAATCTTACACGTTAGGAATGGATTACGACATTAATTAATTAGATAGGATGATAAACAAGCTACATTTGTTCGCATTCTCTTACTCTCTCACATTCTCTCCTTCGCGTACAGACATGATACGTTCGCAAAAACAGGTTTCACGTTTGCTATCGGTTATCTATTTTCCACCGAGTTAATTTACAGCGATCGAGCTGCGATTGGTCACGGTTTGCTATCATTCTCACGGATCATGATAAATCGTTAAATACTCGCGCCTGCGCGACTTTAATCGCGTTCCGTCCACATGATTTTCATCCGTTGATCCTTTCTTTTTTATTTAACGTATTTTGCCTTCCGCTGGACGACTCATTCCATCAACCTCGAGAAAGTCGAATAGACGCACGACGACGCGTTTACGAACAATGTTTGGATCTTCAATTCCTTGTGACATTGCATGTTCGCTGCAGCGAAAAGAGACAGAGGGATGCAAGCATATCGAATTCGATTAGCGCGATGTTCTTCTTTGATTATAAAGTAAGAAACGATAGTGGATTTTATTTATAGATCGCAACGCGTGCACGACAGTGCGAATTCGATTGGTCAGTCTTCGGCTGAACGATAAAACCTTAGAAAGGGACTTAAAACGAAACGAGAGCGAATATAAACGATTCTTTGGTAAAGAAGTGATCGAATATGATCCAACTTATATAAAGGTGTTTACACGTACATCTAAATATACGTGCGTGTGTATATGTATGGTCGTAGGGTGAAGTGCGTGTACGCGTGATGAGTAATGTTATGTAAGTATGTTATGTGCACGATACGCGCGAAAATGTGTCTGTGTGGATATATACAGAAAAAAACGAGTAGTGTACACTTACACGATGAACAACATTAAACGAAGGTCCAGGGTGGCGTGCTTTAATAAGTGGTTTTTGGCACCCAGCTACACCAAAAACAGGACCCTCATTTTTCTTTTTTTCTATACCGCGTGTACGCGTACCCTCGTCATTCGACGTCCTCGAGAGTGTACACGTACACGCGCATAAGCTAACGCGATCAATTATTTACACTAAAGGTGCTTGAGAATCCTCTTCAGGCTGATCCTAGGATCGATTTGCCGTTCTTCCGTTTGTGCGAAGACGTGTCCAATTTGGAACTCCTTACGCTGTAGCCTATGTGATAGAAAAAGAAAGTTTATAAATAGTTTATAAATACTCTACAGTTAAAACTACATTCGCGTAGAGCTTGACCTACGAACATGATAGTCGACATGTATTTCTTTATAGTCGGAAAATACTGGTTGATACATGGACGTTACGATTGTTCAAATCATAGAAAGATTGTATGCGTATCTACATTAGAATTATTGAAAAATATGAAATATTTATATATTTCTATGCTTGAGGGATAGAAGCATTCGAACGTTAAATACAGGGTGGCTACTCACAGAATCAGGATTACACTTCGGGCAGTGAGTAGCTCGATCGGTTACAGCGGTTCTGACCGGCTCGAGGAAACACTGCAACCGAAGATCGGCAGGCATCATTGAGGCAACATTTTGCAGCTCGACTCCATACCCTCTGGTCTCATACGCATGCTGCCATTCGTCACGTAACCGTTCGCGTCAACGATAACGGAGACACTGCCCGGGTGATTGTGATAGCTTACATTCCGATGGGTCATAACTATGTTTTTCTCGTGCTCGTTTCCCGTGTGGGCGAACATGCAGCTCTCGCTGCTTCTACTACTACACGGTTCCATCGAGTGATCCACTCGAATCGGAATAGAATAATCGGACATGGAATTCACTTCCACCGTCGCGTATTCTCTGATCATCGTTGGTTTAGGAGAATAATCCATCTGCATGTGTTGCATCGACGAGGTAGGTACATCGGTGGGATCTGTTATCGTGGACACGTGACCATTGGCCATTGAGTATAGATCCGGCTCGTCGTGAGTTTTTGATGACAGCATTGTCTCCAGGCATTGATATAATAGCGCGTAATCCTCCTATGAAGAGCAAAAAATGGTTTTAATATTGTAAATACTTTCTAAATGAAATTTGATAAAGGATAAAATTATAGGTTGCGAAGTATACCTTTGATCGGAAGACTCCGGGTCGTTTCATGTACAATAACTTCGCGAACATATAAATATCAGCACTATCCTCGAACTCTAGTTGCTTATTCAATGTGGTGAGCAGAATAAAGATTGCAGCCTCGACGCCACCGAACCTGGTGCCAATAACGATCAGCGTTATTTCTATATTCATTATGAGTTCATGAAATAATAATATTTGCAGAAAATTACCTATCCATTACGACAATAGGGCCGTTTTGGTAATCCCGATGTAAATCGTGAATCAAGGTTACAAGTGGTCTCGGATTGGTATTGTGTGGCCAAAAGCCAGGTTGGGAACGCGGTCCTTGGACGATTTTGGCACTCAATTCGTAATCGTCTTGCAGAGATCGGACCGCAACTTCGCGCAAGATCATTCCGCTCGCGGTTTCCTTGATTCCACAAAATCGTACGCGAAATGTCTCTGACTCTAAATCTTTTCCCTCGGTAGGCCAAAATTCGGGATATTCCTGTGAATTATTTAATTATTATTTACTGTTACTTAATCGTTCAACCTTAAAGATACGGAGTATTGAACAAAAAGCTCCATTTACTTCGTCGCATTCGGTTAGCATAACTACAGTTTGCGCATTGTAATCCCACATCATTTGCCAGAACTCCATGATTGTATTTTCCATTGGATGTTGGGTAATGATGAATTCACGATTGCGATGGAAGCCTGGAAACGAACAAATTGGCTTCGCGTTCAACATTATATCGAATTTGAATAATTTCGAACGATTATTTACCAGCAATCCATGTAGCGTTGATGTAGTCACTTCCATCGATTCCGGGCTTCGGCGTCAGATGAACGCGAGCTGTTTCGATTGAGATAACGTCTTGGTTACGATTCTTGTGAAGATTGCACGGTTTGATCGCGGAGACAAGATTGAATTCTTTCGGTTTCCATGAAGTCACCAGCTGAAAATATAATTGTAAAGATCGTATTAATATACATATAAGAGAACCTAGAATATAGTAATTATTCTATTCTACAACTTATAGTAATACTTATAGTACAAATTATAGTAATTATTCTATTCTACAGTACCTTGTACTGAGCTTCAAGATTGTTCCATGCCTCGATATTGGAATTATTAGGATTCAGCATGTCTTGAACATATTCTAATAGATTGTTTGCCTCAATATTAGTTTCACCGCTTTCAATAGCTTCTTGCAAAGCATGATGAATGAACACGTATTGTTCCTCGGTTTGGACCAAGAAATTCCGCTGTGTGCGGATGTGTTTTAGGAATCCAAATACGTTCACTTCGTTCTTGCACTTGGCTTGTTTCAGCATAGCGTCAATTACAATATAGGTGCCTGTACGTCCAACGCCAGCGCTGTAATAAAAGCAATTTTAGTTCATGACTATATTTGTATCTCTTATACTGCTTATAGTACTGTACTTAAAAGTGTTCGCCTATCTCTACCTGCAGTGAACAACGATTGGTCCTGCATCCGGAGGATTGGCATTGGAAGATTTCCGGATGAAGCTCAGAACCGGCAACGGATGTTCTGGTACACCATGATCAGGCCATCCGGTGTAATGATATTGCCAAATGATACGTTCTCCCATATTTACTCCATTCTTCTTCTTCTTGACCTATAGACATTAACATCATTTAGGTCTTGAAAGAATTTATCGATGAAACTTTTTATAAATATATCAACCTTCATGTGACGAATTTGAAGGGTACGAATGGTGTACGTAGCCATAACATCCTCTCTCAACAGAGTCACTTGAATATAGCCATAAGTCTCAGATCCCTTCTTAGGCCAGTACATATCACATTTTTTCTGTAAACAGCGAAAGACAGAAAGAGTTAAATAAGAGAATACATACAAGTTAGATGTATATAAAATAGTAGAGGTACTCACACGACCACGTTCGACGAGATTGGTGATCATAACAACGATCGATACCCTTTGTTCCCATACCATACGCCAGAATCCATCGAAAGTCGGTGGCAGTGGTCCTTGTGTACCAATATACGCACGCGTACGCTGCCAACCGTCGATGTAATTCGCGTTCACGTAATCGTGACCCTTCTTCGGGGGTCCTCCGCCGCATGATAACAACTGCACTCGAGTATGGTCGTCTATGAACAGAAATTTTCTTCCTGTACCTTTTCACTGCCAATTAAATAAATTACCGAAACATTTGAACACTAAAAAAATATTTAGTAATATATTCGATTAATTTGCAATAAAGGCTAACGTTATTACTAATTAAGTATTTGAAAGCATTAATTCTATTTTTCTCCAAACTCGCATCTCACTGTCAAGCATTCCGTTACTAGTATTATTTTCCCATCCAGGACGTTTGGTTAAACACTGAAAACCCATGAATCAACGTCGTTGCGGGTCGTCCAGGTGATCGTCTCCCATTCTCTCCTCTTTCTCTCTCACCCATCACCATTGATAGGCATTAACGAGCAGTGCCGCGAAGCATCTGTGACCTCGTTGCAGAGTGCTGCCGGTCACTCACATTAAAAGCGAACGAGAGCAACTCGTTAATCCGATAACATCGCGAACGGTTGAAGCTCGCAGCATCGCGAATTTCGACGCGTTAAATCGCGCGCGATTTCACTTAGACCAACCATTCCGCTTATCTCAGCAAAAGCCGATACGTTATCGGTATAAAATCACGAGAGATTTTCGTTCCTCGCTTTTCCTGATAGACTAGACGATCTTATCTACGCACAGAGGAATATTACTTAGTTGAAATTCTAATAAAGCAGAATTATTACAAGTAGAATTATAATTCTGTAGAATTGTTACAAACGGTATCAAGCATAAACGGAGGAAGATTAAACTTTAATCTAACTTGCGCTTTATACGCTTGCTTTCATTGAAAGCTTAATAAACGACCTTGGTGTTAACATAAGATAAGATACGATCGATTACCACAAATAGTACAATCTTTAGTATCGAATAACAAGGGTAAAGGGTTAATCCATCATTAAACGAAGGAAGCGCAGCGTTACATTGATCGGTTTTAACGAGATGACGAGACATAATATTACGGTACTCGAGGTACGGCGAGACAGGGATTTCATGAATCAAACGAAAGTCGTTTCGTTTAAAATAGAAAGCGAGCTTGAGCGCAATTTCAGCTCTATTGGAGGCTAGTTCCACGCGAGGCTGAGTGACGTTCTGACGATTGCGGACTTCCGATACGCGCGATTACAATTGTCGTATCGTGCACGGTCTCTGTCCCGACATGCGTGAAACCTTCGCTGATTTACATGCTCGATGACGAACGAGCGGAGGAACGTTGGTACCGACGAAGAAGAGGAAACCTTGAAAAAAACGGAAATGTGCCATTGCTGCGAATTAATCGATTAAACAGAGTGCTCGATCGCCATTGCGCGAGAGATAACGTAGACTCTACGACTCTGTTGCATGAAATAAAATTAAACCTCGCGATATATCGCGAGGGTGAAAGGGAAACTTGGTTAAAAATAGAAGTTGGACGCCGGTGAGCTGCAGGAAGAAAAACAGGAGCTGCGTGGAGCTGTCGAAACCAAACGCTCTTCGATGAAAATAAAGATTTTCCCACGAAAAGATCTCGTTGATCTGGAAATCAAAGAAATGCACATAGTACTACTCACAGGCCAATATATTCAAGTATCGGTTCTTCGCCTTGTTCTCAACGTATTGGGAATTCTCTGCGGTGAATTTGCCACTTTCCGATTGAATGAACTCGTATTCCTTGCTGAACCCGATGTCCCCGTCCGCGTGTAAACTCGCAACGTGTTGTACGAATTTCTGAATGGCGACCGCGGTACGTTCTCCATCCTGCTCGCTGTTCTCCCATTCTTGAAGCGTGGGCACGTTGCGGGGCGGATAGTCGAGGAAGTAGTACGCGGTGTGGAAGCATTTCCTGAAAATTGGCCTCAGGCAAGGCCTAATGAGTTTCGTCATAAGCATGCATTCCAAAAGAAAATGTAAAAGAACAAACACAAACGGAGGAAAACCGAAATGAGAAAGAAAGAACAGGAATTTTAAAAGGGTTTGTCGAAACAACAAAGCGGTACAATATGATTCTTTTATACAACATATTCTTAACAAAGTATCTCGTAATAGAAAGTGCGGTAAATTAAACGCAATAAAAGACTGGGATTGTCAACTGTTTCCATTCGCGTTATCGCTTGCGATCGATCATCGTTTACGACCGACGAAACACGCGGGGAACTTATGTCCCTCCGTGTGCTCTCTTGTTCGTCGACGATCTTCCCGTAATGAAAAAAGTTCTCGCGTAGGAAGGAGAAACGTTTTCATTTTCTTTTCTTCCGGGACTCACAGTTCGAGGTACTTCTTCATCCCGTCGATGAGCTTCTGTTACTATCCATTCTATGATTGTGCAGAAAATTTTCAACGATCGGCAGAGCAAGAGGAATCGAGGTGAACGTTCCTCGAATAAACTGCAAGAGCGAGCAACGCACAGGCACAGAGCGAAGCACGCCGTCCGTGACCCAGAAAGTATTCCTTCTTTACGAATCGTTCCCTCGCGACTCACACAGTATCGCGTTTGAATCGACGTCCTTGAGCATCTTCGACGATGCCGATCGACCAGCGAAAATACAGGAGATTGCACGCGACGGCACGTGTTTTGGCACACGACTATTGTAACACTCGATGGAACCCTCCACTCCTGGCAAAACAAGCGAAACGAATGAAACGTGACGTCCCGATGTACTCACGAAATGCCGCCGTACGACTGGGAAACCTTACGTTGTCGTTGTTACTAGTTGTTATCGCGTACGATAAGAGGTCAGTCGGCGATAGAGAAGGAGAAAGACTGCGAGAATCGAAGAAAAGGAGGGACTAAACGCGCCGCGGAGAGGGAACCGTAAATCGGAGAGACACCTAGAGCCGAATGTTCACCGTACGTATAATTGTTTTCCTGTGCCATTAGCTATGATAATGTACGGCCAGTCTGAATACCACGAGAGCAGCCGGTAAACTGAGCGCTCGTCGAGCGGACTAATCGCGAACAGCGCACCGACTACGTGCCATGTAATACTGTATGACTGCATCGTAGATCGTTTGTAATTGCACGAAGACGACCGAATGCGTATTATCGTATGATGAGGGCGAGGTATTACATTTGCAAAGTTGAATGAGTGAATAAGACTGTGGGCAGTAATCTCGTGACTATCGGGGTTTACGAAGAACGAACACCACGATTTAATAAATTCTTGCTCTTCCGCCGATACCTCAATAATCCTGTTTCCGTTGCTAAAAATATATGAATTAGAAAAAAGGGAGGAAAGAAGAGAAAAATAAAAAGAAAGTAAAAATGTTTAATAAGAGAACGACGTCATGCAAGAAAGATATAGACGTTTAAAATGAAAGAGGACAAACGATTGATCCTCACTTCCATAGGACGAAGGACGTGATCATCAGCATCACCGCCAGACAAGCGCAGATCACCCCGGCAACCACTCCGCTGCTGAACCATATGGTACTGTGTGGCAATAACGGCGGTGCTCTGTTGCAATCGCGAATGCCGCGCACCTTCTGTGGAGCAGAACCTTCTCCGCGTATAATCAACCGATTGTCGATAGCGCTTCGCGTGCCTCCACGCACCACGATCTCATACACGCTGTTCATCGTCAGGTTTGGTATGATCATCTGTGGATAAAAAAGCGTTTATCGAAGTTATTCGGGTGCGTACACAACGTTTCTACGATCCTCGCTGTGTACTGGGGTTCTCTGTAAGCGACTCGTGTGAGTCATCGCGTAATTTCAATTTGGAATTCAACGTGATAAGGAAGTTCGTCCGTCCCGTGCATTTCCGGCACGTCTGCAGTCGATAACCGACAAAACGCTTTAATCGTTCAAGGATGTTCTCGTGTCAGCTGAGCGTATCAGCTCAAAACAACTCACATTTAGAGACAATTATAATAGTGCAAGTCAGTCTACTGCTATTTTTCGTAAACTAGCTTTCTACGTTTGATACTGTCAAAGAAATTGTTTATCAAACCAGATAAGAGAAAACATTGTTTATCTAGAGCTGAGAGAAATAATCGATGAATAGGGAAAACGAAAGGTTCCAGTTAACGGAGTTCCAGTCCAGTAATTCTCGGTGGCTGTCTCTTTTTCTTCGTGGTAGAGCATCGCGTGAAATAAACCAGCTATTCGCAGTGAAAACACTGAGAACGAAGAAAGTGGAAGAACTGTCGCGGCTGGTGGAGTCGAAGTGAAAATTATAGCAAACTGAAACGTACCGCGCTCTCAAGATGATTCTTTTCCGTCATCATTTCGATCTCCTCGTAACGATTGTCGTTCTCGATTCGATAATTGATGAAATAGTAATCGATAGAACCCCAAAAGAGATTCGGCCTGGCCCATTGGATGTAGACAGAATCGTGAGTCGGACAAGTAACGTTCAAGATCAAAGGCGCGCTGGGTCCTGAAATATCTGTTCGACGAATGATATGGTCCGAGGGCTCGCCCTCGTTCTTCCACGTATAAGCCTTTACCCATATCTTGTATTCCGTGTACGGTTCTGAAAGGAATTAACTGATCAGTTGAGGTAATGCGGTATCGTATAATCACTTGGTCCAGTGATTAGATGGAGAGCAGTTTTCTAGGTAAATCAGGAGGGACGAATTTTTCTATTAAAATACAATCTGATAATAAAATATTGCATGAGAAGAATGATATAGAATTAATGAAGACTAATATTAGATTTAATAACAGAAGAATGATATTTGAATAATATTGAAATATAAATTTTTAGTTGAGGTTATTAATTGATATTATAATAAAACAGTGTGTTTGTGGCATACATACAGAAGATAGTTTCAACCAACATCAATTACTTTATAATCCCGATTTAGAAAATATTATTTAATATATACAATAATCTATAGCATATAATTTGATAACGTATAATATTTTGTAATATGTATATAAATATTCCCTAATATATTTTATCGATATGTGCACATATATTTTATATACCATTGAGTATCTACCGAAGCAGTGAAATGTTCGTGGAATAACTTTCTATTTCAAAGCAATTTGTAAAATAAATGTATCGTACCTAACATAGAATTTACCATATGAATAAGATCAAATTTGTGTTATCTAACAATGCGTTCACCTGCAGTTATCGAGGGTGAGCATGTAACGCATCGCGATGATAAGAGTTCCAGCTTATCGTTAAGCCACGCACACTGATGTCTCTTGTTTCTTTACACGAATAACGATTCTCGAAACAGATAATTGTATATTAGTACTCTTTGCTTATTACGAGCCTCGCCTTCAACGCGAATAAAAAGAAACGACGACGACGAGAAGATAAAAATATTTTTGGACTGCTCCGTTTTTGATATAACTAACTCACCTAATTCTTTCAAAACGAATTCAATGACTGGTCCATCATACTCGTCGGTTCTGTACATTTGGACGTCGGTGTAATTGGAATGCATGTAGTAAATGCGATAACCGGAAATGATCCCATTGGCGTAGTCTGGTTCGGCCCATGACAGTTCAATGGTGGTGGATGTGATGCCGTGGGACGATAGATTCAATGGTTTCGTTGGCACTGGAACACGGCAACACGAAAATGAAAGTTACAAAACTATAAAAATTATATAAGCAAAAATGATCAGAAATTTACAAAAAGAAATATTGTGAGTTATACATTACTATTATACACGATCGATGAATTGAAAAATTGATATATTGCTAGTATAACGCTTCGTGATATTTTCCAAATTATCAAGAAAATAAAATTTACCAAGGTTTCATACACTTCGTTATTACAAAGTTATTTCGCTTACTGTTATACATCAATTATAGGTTTAAAAAATGCAATACAATCATTAACGCGCTATAACGTTAATTATACTCGAACCGAACGAACGAACGGTGTCGTTATTTCCAATGATTTTCACATTTCGTGCGGCAAGTGCGAAGGAAGCCGTTAGCACGCGATCATCGGAAACGATTTTGTCATACTCGAGTTGAAGCACCCCTCGAAAACGCTCGGCTCCGTAAACTATTTTTCGGTCGATGCACTCGTCGGCGTGTCAGTTTTTCCTTCCTTATCGTCAGGCAGCTCATCATCTTCCGAGGTGGCTTTCCAATTTTCAGCGTACAAAGACGAGAGCAAGCTTGCGACGGCCAAAGTCTGAATAATTAATTTCGCCTCGAGTGTCTTCTCAGACCCCTCGCGCCGCGACGAGTAACTCTATAGACACTATTCACTTTTCGTACAGAACGACCGCAGCTGTTACCTAAGATCGGAGCTACCTTCTTTGCTTTCTTCTTCTTTTTCTTCTTCTTTACTATTTCTCGAAAACACCTGGAATAGCTAGTAACGTTGAAACAATCCAACTGGATCAACTTTTATCGCGTCGCTTTCATGTTTTCGATCCCCTATCTCGTCGAAACATCTGGTACTCGTATCGAGGGAGACGAAACGGTATATGTACATATGAAACGATCCATCGCTTGTATGGCTTGGCGATTGAATTTCGCCAAGTTTTAACAAGGGGGTGGACAGGGCGAAAGGTTGCACACGAATTTCCATCGCCATACAAAAGGAATTGCAATCGCAGATATCGTAGATGAAATAAACATGAGAATAAAAGTATTTGTTCATTGATATGTTTCTTCAATGCAAAGCCGTTCGATTGTACATCCAATTTCAAACGATACTCGGGAGAAACCGATATCCTGCGGGCACCGAACGGAATTCGATAATGACACCTACACTCTCCAGTGATTCTCTGAAGCGCAATAATTCTACGCATCAACGGTTAGACGCGTGAACGTTAGGCGCCATCCGTGTATTCGAGCGGCACCGTGCGGTGTCGCGATTTCAACGGATGATTGAAGCCACCAATATCGCAACATCCAAGAGTAAGAGGATTATCCGCGCGGAAATGTTGCAAGAAAGTTTCTTTAACCCATTAAAGACAAACGACGCGATAACGTAACATTACATCTGTAATTTCTTCTTAGCCAATTCACGTTGACCAATTCTATTAAATTCGTGTTACGATCGTGGAGAAGAGTTGCAAGAATTTGCAGAACATTTGCTTTTGTTAAAATTTATCGCTTAGATCCATACAATTTTATGAAGTTTGAGGAAATTCAGGTACTCGTACTTTAGCTATTCTTGTTCAAATTACAGATTTTCTTCGTGCCTTCCATTCGTGCAGTGGGTTTTCATAATGTATTTATTATTTTAATACACTTTGTATTATATTGTACTTCGACGAAACAATAGCATAGTTTACGTTTTTTAATCGTACAGTTCTTCTCAGGTCTATATGGATTATTAAATATTTGGCTTTAATACTCGATATAATTTTACTCCGTTTAGTATTCTACGCATTTTTTGACTAAAATATTCCATATATAAGAAGAAGAAAACGAAGACGAAGAAGCGAAAAGAACAGTGGGGTTAATAATGTTACATATACGACACTTTCGCACTTTGTTTCGCTACTGAGTCTTTAACGAAATAACGAGATACTGTTGAGAAATCGTATCGGAAAATCGTATCAATCTGAAAACGACACTAAACTCGTGCCTTAAATGCCCTACTGGACATGAAAATGAATCGTTGTCAACAGAGAAAAGCTATATACTGGACAGAAGTATTGATGTGCTCTGTTAAGTAAACTCCGTTGATGGACGTTTACTTAAGGACAACGAGATAGACTTCAGTTTCACCTAATAACCTAACAAGGAAGCTGAAGTTTCAGCCACGAACGTGTAATTTTCACTTTCCCAACACGATCGTCCATAGTTTCAAAGAATGTCGAAAGCATATTCAGCCGAGCCGTTGCATTTCACACTCACCCCTCGGCAAATTCGCGCGTTTCCACGCAGTCGATAACTCTTCCGCGACGTTTCGTCGCAAAAGCGTTTCGCGACGCGTCTCGTTTTACGTGAATCTCCACCCTCGAGCGGAGCTTTTCTTCGTCGTTGAAAAACCAAGCTCGAGCAAGAGAACGGACTCCCTTGTAATCCGTATTCACGTCTCGTTCACGCGAAGAGGGAAGGACGACGACGTGCTCGACAATCGGCTGCGAAGACCTTTAGAATTCGCAACCGAATAGTGTTGTATCACGATACGCGACTACTGAAAAATGAACGTGATCGTGTATGGTGAATAGACAAGGTCGAGCGCGCGGTTCGCGCTTCTGCAGGCCGAAGAAAACTCGCGAGGAGAAAGGTGAGAATCGACCGCTTGGATCCACGCGCGCCGAGAACTCGCGTCTCTTGGCCCATCATTTTTCCACGTTGCACGCGATCACGGGAAAACGTTTTCTCCGGCGTTTCCTTGCTGTCTAGAAACTTCTGCTTTACCGCACCTGGGGGAAAACGTTGAAGTGTAAAGTCTTAAATTAGGAGTTAAAGTTACGGATGACTTCATACATTTTCTTGATCCTGTTTTCTTACGTAGGTAGAGTTTAGGAGCAACTTTCTTTCGTGGTCGAATGCAGCTGACCGGTTGAATTGCTGTCAGGAAATGTACAGCGAGAAAATTCTTATGTAACAGGCGCGTTCGCTGGGTGTTTCTTTGATAACAATTCGATGAACGATTCACTTCGAGTGATCTTTGGGGAGAGAAAATGACGCGGCAAAGGGAAAAATAGAATCGAGATTGGTATGAAAGCGTATGTTGTATTTAAATGGCGAATGTTTATGCAAATTCATATATTTCGGACTGAAAAAAGATAGGACCTAAGTAGGTACATCTGTGAGCAAGTTGATTTTATATTCCAAGAACAATACCTAAAGGAACTTTAATTAATATTAGGTATAAGGATATGATCAGTAAAATAATTAACAATGTTATATACTCATATAATATTAGTTAAAATTCTTTAAAAACCATGGCTGTTAGAATATAAAGTAAAAATATATCTGGCCGGAAACTTTTGCGCACCACTGTTACCGTTTCCGTTTCCTTCATAGTAAATATTCCAAAGAATGCTAATACATACTTGAATGCGTAATACAGCATATAACAATATATAATACAATACTATGCTTTGAATATTTTATATGTTTTTGCATATTATGCGCATTCTATGCGTTTATATTTTCCATAAATCTATAAACATCCATAAACATCCATAAACTTCCATAAGCAACAAATCCACAAATTCATAATAACCACGCTATAACTGTAAATCAGAAGATTTCCCAGCTTCCTCGGCTTAACAAATCTTCTCATTTTTCATCAATTTTCTATAATTTGCAAGAATAACTTGAAATGAGAGATGTATCCACTTCCCCATTGCCGAAAGAATCGACGCAGATATATCTGAATGGTTTCGTGCTGCGTAAGAGAGACACAGGCGAAAGTAGCTGTATTAGGATCGGTTAGCAATGAGTAACGGTGCTCCAGTGAAAGGAACGGTTGATAAGAAAAGCAACGATCGTCGACTACCTGTTTCGCGTTACCTGCTTTCTCGTTCCCTAAGCGGCAAGTTTATGAACTTGAAACGTATGCAACGCTACCTTTTCGATCGGCTGCTTTACTCAAGCCTGCACCGTTGCGATTTCGTCCTCGGACCAGTGCCACGGTAAAATCGCTTGCCGTCTTAACGTGTTTCACGCCGAGTGACTCACGGCACTCCTCAAAGCTGAACATTCCTCTCGAAATATACTAGGAATTTAAGCTAGTCTGACATTCAACTGCCGTAAAATATGAAAATCCGAGTTCCATGCTTGATATTTTATGATTTCTGTAAATTAATATTTATTCGATGCAGCGTCTAGTTATTTTTCGAATGATTGAGCACAACGAAAGTACCGGATTTTTCGTTATGTAACTCCGCGTAATTACATCGAAAGCTTGCGTTGTTCGATGTCAACAAATTGGCGTTTATTCGATGCAATATTAAGCTCTTCCTTATATTAACGATAAACAAAAATATAAATTTGTAGCAATTTAAATAACTTTGTGCAATAGACTGTTTAAGTCTGTGATTCACTCGACACATAGAATAAGAATAGAATTGCATCACGCGTTCTTTTATTCCAAAGAAACGATTCATTTATTCGATGGCAATGTCAAGTTTTTACTTAGATTAACGATCAACGAGTGAAGTATAAGATTTCTAGCTCTTTAAACATTTTTAGACACAGTTTATAATTCGTCTGACATAAAGTGTACTTTATTTTAATAATACGGTATTACATCGCGATTTCTCTTATCCCGAAGATGCGATCCATTTATTCGATGTACTGTTCGATCGTTCCTTATATTAATGATTGATAAAAGTATAGACTTGTACCACTTTAAATAACCTTGTGTAGTAAACAGTTTATGAGCATGATTCACTCAAAGCAAAATGCACCGTCGAACAGAATTGCATCACGGTTTCTTTTATTCCAAAGCAGCAACTCCAAAAGTGTTACATATTTCAGCTCACGCCATCGACTACAAAGCATCGAACATTACGACGTCCCTCGACCGTGTCGGAGCAAGGTGAGTCTCGAAGGGCGAAAGGCCATTAAGATGCCATTAATTCGAGATACGCGTCCTCCGCGATGGGCATTAGCAAATGCCCGCAA